CAAATCGTGGCAGGATCAGCCTGATATTATTTGTATCCCGCTGTAACTTTACTGTATAAAGAACTAACATCTCCAAAATGTCAGGAGTAGTTAGTTATTACGAGAAGTGTTTGTGAACTAAAAATCAAGAATGTGGGATACTGTTTGTCTGCGATTTGGAGAGCCCAGCGCGTGCTCCCGACACAGGGAAAACCAATTCTGCTGGGGAGACCTACCTCGGCGCTTGTGCAGGTGAAGCCAAAGGGAAGATATGCTTCACCATATTTTCTAGTCTTTGGTTTGGAAGGAAGTTGGTTTGGAAACATATTTGGCGATGCTTCATCTCCTGCTTTGTGTTTGTGTGGACGCTCCATCAGAAACGTGTCCATTATGCTAGCAGTGTCCAAGAGTTCTTCTTCTTTTTTATTTTCATACCGCCCCCCCTAGGGGGTGGGCCCCACACTTTGGGAACCTCTGGTGTCGGTCATGTTGTGTTTTGTCCCGGCCTTTCTAGTTGTGATTATTCGTGCTAGCCACGCTTTGTGTGCTCTCTCGTCCCTCGTTATCTTTCTGTGTGTTTATGCCCACTCTCCCTCAGTCCTTTGTCGCATCCTCCCTCCTGGCTGTGTTTCCTTGTGTGCCTCTCCGTATGATTAGTTATGAATTTCCCAGTTTAGTTTTGTATCGCCTTTTTCCCATTCAGCGAATAAAGCTGTACTTTGAGTTAAAGTCCTGTTTGCGTCTGGGTCCTATTCCTGTCTGCACACAGCCAGTTCATGACATTAATTTTACTAGACAAAAGAAAAAGACGACTGAATAAAGCAAATTGTAAACTTATTTTGCTTATTTATTTTCTGTTTGAGTAGCAGCCTGCACTTTGAATCATTGGGGGTTACGCACAATATAAAAGCAATAACCTATCTACCAAAGCAATCACAAGGATGTTATGGGTTCAGCATCTAAAACTGTGAGCAATATAACCAAGGAAGAGTAAACCATCTCCTGCAGCCACTCACCAACTGGTAGAAGAATGCTCAGTTCCCCCCCCCCAGTGATCTACTGGTCTGTAGTTTTATTTTACTAATTTAATGGCTTACCTCATGAATATTTAACTTTATAATTAACTTGCTCAACAGTACTGCTGAATAGCTCTACAAGGTTTTGCATCTGATGTCCTTTTGGGATTTAGTTCAATTTAATTTTATTTATATAGTGCCAAATCACAACAGCAGTACATCAAGGAGCTTTATACTGCAGGGTAAAGCCCCTACAATAATAGAGAGAAACCCCCCCCAAAAATCAGACGACCCCCTTTAAGCAAGCACTTGGCAACAGTGGGAAGGAAAAATTCCCTTTTAGCAGGAAGAAACCTTTCAGCAGGATCAGGATCAGGGAGGGACGGCCGTGACTGAGTGGGTTGGGGGGGGG